CGGAAGAGAAAGAAAGAGAGAAACAAATAACTTGAGAAAAATTGATATTCAACGAGAATGTTTTTTACTATTAATTAACGGGTTGGCACTTCTTTGGGATATATAATTTCATCTTTGGATATGTAGGAAGAGAAACACAAAACACAAGGAACTATGGTTTACATACATGTGGGAAGAAGGAAAATGAAACATAATATGTTACTAATCCAGCCATCCACAGCATATTATTGGTAAATCGTACTTCACTGCAGCCTCAGAGCCTTCATCCTGCATTATGATAAATACAATCAGAATCAAGCAAGAAAAAAGAATGACACAAACACAATACTACATTGGAGCAATATGGTAAGAATGAAACATAAACTAAACAATGGTTCATTAAATTACCTTTCTTCATCCATGTAAGAATAACCCCTGGTGCTAGTTCCCACAGTTGCAACATTTCTGTAATTGGGGAGGGGCACATGACCTTCCTCAATCTTCTTGACATCTTCAACGAGCTTCTCGTAATGCCTTTTCACTTCCTCCACCGTTTTTCCTCCAACGGCCCTAGCCAGTTTCTGCCACCTATCAGGGGTGTCCTGGTCAAAGATGGCCAAGGCATTCTCAAATCTTTTGTTCTGCTTCGGAGTCCAACCCTGTTGGCTAGAGGCCATTGTGCCAACACTTGTAATGAAAATTCAGTGTTTACAATAGAGCTTTGATGATGAGGTACTTACATGTAACATGGGTGCCCTTTATATACTAGTTGGGGGGTACAAAGTGTTTACTTGATGCTTTCAGAACAAAACTGTGGGACAGGTTCTGAAATTCCTAGATACGGACGTGGTTTTCTTTAACTTTCTACTAATTCTGCATGTTCTCTTTTTTCTCAATTGGCTTAAGGCTTAATTAACCTCTAAGAATGTAAGCAAAAACCACGCACATGACATGCATGCCCTTACTGAATTTCAGTGACATTTGGACAGAATTTCACAAAAGGCACTGTTTTCGTGTCGAAGGAAGGATATGATATGATATGATATGATCCTCAAGGAAATTCATCAGTGTTCATGCATCGGTTTCCTTATCCCCACCCCTGTTCCGGAATGGATAGCCTTAAAGTAGGGATGTAAAGTAATAAAGTATGAGTTGAGATGGTACAAACCGGACAAATGGCAAAATAGTTATGTAAAGATCTTGCGTGTGATTTTTCACATATGAATAAACGTTACTAGTCCCAACTTATGCTAAGGTTTTTGCATCAGGGGCATGGTTTTTGGATGCAGAACGTGATGGCTCTTCGCCCCACCCCACCAAACAAATGTTTGTAAATGAATAAAGCTTTTTCGATCGAAAAACCCGGGAACTGACAGCTTCCAATTCACTGCCGTCACTCTATCGATAGAAGTCAGATGCATTTCTACATGTGATCATCTCTAACGAGAATTAAGAGTTTCAGTTTCGTAACCTGTGTTGATTGATACTTATTACAAATATTTATTATGTTGATAGTTATAGAAGAACAATACTAAAATCATATAAAAGTTTTTGGTAGGTTGACTGACGCTGCACTTGCCACTTCATTGTGGAAGTCAGATCTACGTCCAACAGGTCACATTGATGACAATGCCGACATTCAACTCATTGCCACATTTAACAAATGATTCCTTCTTATAAATATACAAATTGGTTACCAAAATATGGAAAGAGTTACTTCGCAATTCTCGGCACTTTTTTCGGATAGCTTCAAAAGTCTCCAGATCATGATATGTGAGTATATAATCTCGTTCAAGGGTTAGAACATGCTAGATTTTTCTCTTTAAACGCTCTCAGTCTCGCTAAATTATTCTTTCATACCAAAAGAACAATAAAATATAAAATTATAAAAATTATAAATCACTTTTATTGTCAATAAATAAGAATAATACTTTATTTCATTCCTATCTCTCTCTTTTTAAGTTGATTTCATTCTTATCTTGAAATTATATGTAAGAAGAACGATTTTCATTTTTTTTTTCTTAAAAGGACAATGCTTTTTTTATATTTTATATTATGGATGTTATATGCAATTATAGTAGACTTTTATACTTCTTTTTATCCTTATTACAAGACACTTATAACACAATCACATATATTAATATAAATATTTATTTTAATTTATTTTATTAATTTTATAGAATAAATTCATCATAATATATCAATTTTATTCTTTTTACTTGGTAAAAATATTATTCCATATTAAAATTTATATATTAGTACCAATAAATTTGATAAATGGCAGATAATTTAAAAGGTAAGAGATAACATTTATTTATCGAATTATCTTCACATTATTTAATATCAAAAAACTTAAATACTCACAATCTTTGATAGAAATGAAACATAAAAATAAAATTATTTTATAAGAATTATAAAATATTTTATCAAAAAAATTATCATATTTTCTAAATTGTGTTTTATAATAAATAACGAAATACATATTTTAAGAGTGCCGATACCTCCCATATGTAAGTAATAAAAGTAAAATATGAAAATATCATATACGTTTATGATACAGATATGTTAAGCCAATGAAAATATGGTGCTTCGAGTGCTGCATTTTGATTTGTGATGCACAAACTGCTGTGGAGATGTGAAAACTTGCACGGTACAGAGGACAGGTGGGTCCAGCATATTAGTCCAGAACAATCAGCTGTTAAAGATTTCACGTTAAGAGTGCCATAGATCAGTCATCAGACACAACCCACAAAACTGCTTTTTATCTTTTCAGCTGTTTCCTCTCTGTACCTGTGCCTCAAAAAACACTACTGTTTTATCTTATACATCACTGAATTTTGCTCAAGTAAAGTGACCTAACAATAACAACATAAAAACAAACTTAACAGTGAAGTTGCTAGAGTTGAGACTAGCTTCTATGAAACGCTCCTGCTCTTCCTAGCTTCTGCTCAAAGCACCAAATTAAGTGCCTAAATTGCTTTGTCACTTCTTATTATCTTACTCCCTCGTAACTCAGTGAAGTTCCAATCAAAAATGAAGCTATGGTAATGTCATACTACATATATTTGTGATTTATGTACATACAATTCCAATTACATCAGCATAGTGTACATATAGTATCATAATATTACCTGCTTGGTTCATTAGTTCCTTGCTTATCTTAATTTTCTTCAGTTATATTGCAGAGCCACAGTGGGAGAGACCTGTATATGTAGCATGGCTAATATTTGGTTTATCAATTGCAGCAAAAAAGAAAAAAGACTAGCAATGTGTTTCCATTGTCTTAAAGTTAATCTTGCTCCGGAAGAAAAGAAATACTTACAAATTACCTAACATTTTCTTTTTATAGACTTAAACTTCTTAAGTTGTGTAGGTTTTACTATTTTTAAATGCATCTTACTTTAATGACAAATGAAAGTGTTAAAAAGAGTTTGTTAGAAAATATGATTTTAAGTAATTTTGCAAGGTGAATCTTACATACGGCGCTTTCCACATCTGTTTTACATTTACATAATGTAATCTTCATATACTATCTTACAAGGTGAGCAACCAAAAGTGAATCCATAATATATGGTTTATTTTACATTGAATGAAAGCGACAGGAAAAAGAAAAGGGATAAAGCTATGTGACCCGGAATAGAATTTTTGTGTCTACTTTCTTACTCTCACAAGAATGGATATGCATGCTCGAACAAAATATGGTATACCACATAAATGACTTAAATTGGTCCCTCAATTTCATCCTTGGAGCCACCAACAATGTTTATTGCAGATTAACTTAAAGATGATTAGTTTTTTGTTGAAATGGTATACATGATGATGATTAACCTTGTTCAAAATAACAAAACAGAAAAAACTCCACCAAGAAACATTTCAACTTTTTTTGATCCATAGCAAGGGGATAGATGATGCTGATACATTTAGAATCCTTATCATCCACGCATATCCTGAGCCGAATTTATCTCTGAAGAGCTTCCCTGTCTGTTTCAGAAGCTTTATGATCACTCCACTACCGATTCAAGTTGGCATTGGGGGCCACTGCATTGATTTCTAACCAACCACGGATTGGTATCCATGCTTAGATTCCAAAACCTAGATGCTTTGAAAGGTGTAGTCAAAGGGACTCACCCTCTAAAAGTTCCACATAGCCAGTATTGGATCTAATTCTGAGCCAGCCAAAAACAAAAATTGTTTAGACAAACTCAAACTAGACTAATTAAATTACATTCCTGATTCCTTTCAACTACCATCTGCTGCTAGTATATGCTAATGCTACAGATAAATTAGCATCTAGAAATAATTATTGATAAGTCACTAAAAGTTTCCACTGTGTAACCTCCTATCTTTCATGCTAAAACACAGTGCGTTATCCCACCTTCGTCACGAGTCCGTGAGAACTGAGAACTAAGAGTATAGAGCTTTGAGCTTTCAACACTCATGTAAGATACCATAGTTACTTTTTACATTATTATTAGTTGAAATCTGTCTGATCGTGCTTTTTATTCTTTAGAATTGAATTTGTTACATATATAATCTGCGTGGATTTTTACCAATGTAATTGATGTGAAACTGAAATAAAATAATTAAATGGTTTGTGTTCGGTTGTGGAAAACTCGCTGGAGAAGACCTAGTAACTGTCCATAGCATGCCTTTTGATAACCATATATAGGTGGGGGTTATATATAGTTGTGTCTGGGTGTATTAATATCTAATATTCTCTAAGATATTTTCCAAAAAAATATGACATAAATACCTATGACCCTAGTTACTGTATATATAATTGAGATGCTAAATCATTATAACTATATTTTGGTTAAATGGGTAGGTAACCTATATGATTCACATATGTCCAAAGAGTATATATGTAGTCTCCAAGCCTCAAACAACCGAGTGTGAAGAAGTTCATGTATCTGATTAATTTGTCCTAATTGACATTATGCATAGAGGTTACAATTTGTAATAACAATTAAAGAATAAATTGTCTAAAAAAGATAGAAATAAAATATATTCATATTTTTTTCCATCACCCAAGAGTATTTCTCTTCAAACACAAAGACTAAACTTCCTTGAAAATTTACAAATATTAAATAAGTGGATTTTTTTTTAATTTGAATTTTCTACATTTTTAAGAGTTTAAATTTTTTACATTCTTAAGAGTTAAGATATTTTCATGTATTTGTTCAATTTGTCTTAATTGGCATCATGCAGAGAAGAGAAGGTACAATTGTAATAACAATTAAAGAATAAAATTATCTATAAAAAAATAGAAATCAAAAGATATATTCATATTTTTTTTCATTATCCAAGAATGTTTATCTTTGAACACAAAAACTAAACTTCCTTAAAAATTTAACAAATATCAAATAAGTAGATATTTTCTTCTAATTTGAATTTTTTACATTTTAAGAGTTTGAATTTTTTGCAATCTTAAGAATCAAGATTTAAACTCTAATTACTTGGTTAAACGACACAAGAATATCCATATATAAGTTATAGATAAGACTTCTTTTAAAGAATTTGGTACTATATGAATTCGATACATGGGAATAAGGATATTGAGAAAATTACGTAACTATAGAGAGACTGTTGTCTAGATCTGCTATCTTGAATTCATGCTTCACGTTTCAATATGCCTTTTCCAGTACTGATCATTTGTTGAAACAGACCCTTCAACTTGGACATATAGAAGTAGGAGAGGATATATCCGGAGAGATATCAGTTGAATAAACTTGGAATCCTTATCATCCATGTTTATTTTCCACTATAAACCAATCACTCATCAATTGTTCTTTCTTTACCAATATCTTCTCAATTTTCTTCGTGAGGTCCCTTCTTCACAAGTTGATGAGCACGTAAGTCTATTATATTCTGGATACCCTTGTTCTTATTATAGATGTTACGCCCGCATTTGCTACTCCAAACAAGTTTCAATCAATTCTTTGCGCAGTCACAAAGTTTTTGGAAGAATATTATCGATCGACAAGAGAAGCCATAAAGTGAAAAACACAAAAGAAAAATTCCATACTGACCCATTAGTTCTGTTCGATGCTGTGTTTGATAACGTTAACTTGGCACCATGCTGGATTTAATTTGGTTTGATTTAACTTGACATCAGCTCCGTTCAGCTACTCCACCAGTAATGGTGACAGTGACAGTGTCTTGGAGCAAAAAGGAAAATACTAGAGTACGTAAATAAGTATATATTACAGGGTTGAGACCTGAGAGCTAAGATAATGGATAAGATTTTATACCAATGAACTTGGGACCAGTAAGTAAGAATGTATCATTCAAGAACTTAATAATAATAATAATAATATATTAACCATACGGCGTTAATTAAATTAAGAAAAAAAATTAAGAGTGTTTAAATATTAAAAAGTATAAAAATTATTTGACATTTACTTTTTGAAACAATTAAAAGTATTTAATAAAATATAGCTAATCTTTGTTGAACATGTTCTAACATTGATTTAACAGGATGTTGAATAGTTCGAATATATATTTAAGTTAATTTACAAATCAAGTGTTGGAATATATCGAAGATTAATTGAATTTATTTTATATTTTATTACGTACTTAGAATAATTTAAATGACCCAAATAATAAAGATACCAATGAGAAAATTTCAACGTCTGAAGCGCAAATTAAATCATATATATTCAAATCTAATCAAATTTGAATAAATTTTATTCCTAGACAATTATTAAAATAAAAATATACCAAATAAAATCAATTCGAATTTTATAACTTATCTTAAAATATGGATTATAAACTTAATTCATCTATACAAAATCAACTTATAAAATAAGAGAGTTAACTTCTCCTTATAAATTTTTTGTAAGACTTCAAACCACTTATTTAAAATGATATCAAAATTATCATAAATTTATTTAAAAGGAATCACTTATTATTTATACATGCATCAATCCTAATAGTATTGATGTGAAAGGTGTATTTAAAAAAAAAATTCACTTATTCTAGATTATTCAAAAAAATCACCCATAATGTACAAAACCTAATAATGCATAACATAAAGAGATGTATTTAGAAAAAATTTAAATCTCATATTAATTAAAGATAAGAGAAATAAAAAGTGTAAAAGAGAGACAATTCTTACCATATAAACTATTTTGTAAGATTGAATAAATAAATAACTTATGAATGGAAACAAAGCATTGTTAGAAACCAAATTTAATAGTCTCGGACCAAAAGAAAATAAGCAGAAAAACGTATAAATGTTCCGCAGCAAATAGAAAAGCTTTCAGATATCTTTAATTCTTTATACCCATAATTTTCACGGTAGTGGGGATGTTATTGAGTAATTGCGATAGAATCTGTTGAGGAATAGAATATGTCTTAACTTTGGTTGATTAAATAAATTACCTTAGTCAGCTTTTTCTTTTTACTTTTTTCAGCTAAAACGGATTGATATCCAATCACCTTTTGTAACTTCAAATCACATAAGGTATTAGAACACATGGGGTCAAATTCTGCCAGGCTGTTGTATTCTGGTCTGAGATGATAGTTTGACATTAGAGATTTTCCGATAAAAGATTCAGTTATAAGAGATGAGATAAATTATATTATTCTAGCACAGTAGAACCTATTTTAGTATTGGATGTCACTTTTGTTATATATTCCCGTCAAATGACAAGTCATGGGGTGATGGCAATACTTTGTTTTTGTTCCATCTCATTATGTAATCCAATCCTGTGCATTGACAGGAATGAAATATAGAGGGAGGAACAAAAAGGTTAACTAATATCGCGCCAGCTATATCTATAATTTCAACTGTATCAATAATCCCAGGAAGATATTATTTACTAACTTGACTTGTATACGTGAAGAGTGTGCACGATTTGCCCAATGAAAATAATAAAGCAAAAGAAAACAAATGAGAAATGGGACTGATAAGATTTAGATTAAAAAAAAATGGTTTACATCAGTTTTGTTCTTATTTTTTAGTGTTGTCTTAAAATATTCTAAAACAATGATTCATAAGTATTGATCTTCATTGGCCAAATGGGAAAGGATCTGCTACGCTACGCCGTGTCTACGGAGTTATGAATTCCTTTTATGCATACCAGGAAAAAGAAAGGCAATCAATGCCTCCGTGAAAAATAGGTAAAATAATCATATTTTATGACATTTTTTTTATATTTATAGCAGTTTTTTTTAACAATTATTAAGGGTAAAATAGGTAAAAGACATGTGTAACAAAAATGAGGTAATTCCCTTTATTATTAGCATAGATTATTATCGATTAAAATTTATTAAAATTATATAAAAAAAATATTATATAAAATGTAAGACCCTATCAAATTTCATAATTTTTAATAAGTTTTAACCAATAAAAAATAAAATAAATTAGATAATTCAATTCATCAATGTCTCCGACTTAAATTGTTAACTTGTCAAGCTAATTATATTTATAAGATGAGAATAGGTTGATTTATTTAACAAATATTTTAACTTGTGTAACATATATGATAAATCTATATTTTATATAGCTACTATTTATAATAAATATATATTTTTAAAATATTTAAATTATATTTTAAATTTATAATAAATAATTTATATTATGACTACAAGGTTCTTTTTAATTATTAATACTTTAAAAATTAAAATTTATCTTAAAAGTAAAAATAAAGACAAATTAAAAGAGATATAAGTTTAAGAAAAATTATTGTATTTAATGAAAATTAGTCAAAAACATTCTTGTTGAACATAACTCACCCTTTTATCTATTGACAGACCTGATTGTCAATCACAGCTAAACAGAATCAGTAATATTTTTCAACTCTCTTTCCATCAACAGGTTAACCCATCACCCTTAATCGAATTTAGATAGATCAAAGTGCATCAAAGAAATTGATCCACTTTATCACTTCAATTATCAAACAGATTAAATATATTTTTATTTTTATTTTTATTTTTTAAAAATTTTATTTTTAGTCTTTGAATAAATTTTATTTAATCTTAATCCCTAAAATTTTTCTTTATGAATAAAAAATCTTGACATTAGGAACCAAAATATTAATAAGAAGAAATTTTTATAAACTAAAAGAAAAAAAAAATTATCCACACTAAATATAAAAATTCACAAAATTTAAAGTCTAAAAATATATCGATTTAAGAAACAATTGATTTGTTTTTGAAACACTCTCACCAACCAAACGCAAACATGTTAGGCTTAGTTTAATACAAAACATTATTTGATATCCATCGTAAGCGTGACAAAATTTTACAATTAAATGGGAAAAAAAAAACTCAATTAATGCATTTCCTCCAACTGCGTAGTGGCACCAATTACTTTTGTGACGTGCCCGATGAAACACTAAACAAGTAATACAACGCTAACATCTACAGTAGTATATTGTTTAATTTTTAATCACTGTAGCAAATGTTAAAATAATAAGGTATATAAGTATTTACACTTTGTAGCAGACGTTTAAAAAACCATATAGAGCTTTTGGAAGGGGTCAAAATAATAGAGCAGTTTGAATTTCTAAACCGAGCTAAGTCCAATAAAACAGAGAAGGGAGATGACAACCAGGAACATTGAACACGGGACAGAACAGAATTCACTTTCCAAACCCAAACTACAACCAAATTTCTCAACTTAAATGTCTGGCGTCTCACAAGCCAAAATGCCAAATTCATGCTGCATGAAATCTTCACTGGGCCTGTAATACTTGTCTGGTGAGTACAAGGCCAAGTTAGATACTTGGCTAGTATAAAGGCAAGCAAATCTCTCAACCTGCACCATGCATATCACGCAAGTACATCAAAAGAATTCTCATTCAGTGACATCCTTTTGATATCATGGTTAACGGAGATAAAACATTTATCATTTTCACAGGTTTCTTCCAGAAATTGCAATACTAAGATGCTCGCCGCCATGCGTATTACATGTTGCTCTTATATGTTAAGGCGGTGTTTTGCAAGGATTGCTATGCCTATTTGATTCACAGGGACGGATATAGAATCATTAAATACATATCTCTATCTAACTTATAGACATCATTTCTTAAATCGTAAAATTCACCAGAAGATAAAATATATATCAAATTTCAATCAAAATCTCAATATAAAAATTAAACAATTAGTAAAAAAAAAGTAAACTTTCATCTAGTTTTTAAACTTATTTTTCACCACCTACATAGTTAAAAGTAATCTCTCAGTTGAAATAGACAGAGTTAATCTCAAACAAATTAAAAGATAAGTAAAATATTTTATTATAATAAATAAATTTTATCATAATGTGGTTTTTCAAAGAGTCAAGAAAGAGGGAAGCCTAGGCCCCCACTTGCCTCCCCTTGGATCCATCCATGTATTTTAATAGTACTAGTAAATCACCATAACAGCCACTCTAATTAGAAAGATATAAGTATCATTTCCTATTGTACTCGAGAATAGGGGGGCGTATCCAAACCATTAAAGAAAGTCATATTTCACCTGATGAGCAAAGCGAGAATTCTGATAACCAGTTTTCATAAGCTGTCCCCATGGCTCGTGAAACTACAATAATTTATTGCAAATGATCAACATTGTCAATACAACGTAAATTGGATTTATTATAATTGTAAAAGACCAGAAAGGGAATTCAAGATAATGAAAAACGCTAGAGATGAACATTCTACCCTTTGATGTAATTTTCTCTGAGCTTCTTGATGACTAAATCGCACTCTCTCTCTTTCAAGCTGCCAAAAAAACCCGCTAATAAAAAATCAGAAATTGGACTTCCATTCATGAAATCGGAATGGTTGTAAAAGCCAAACCTCCAATTTATCAAGTTCTGAAGATAACTTCTGCTTGGAATCAGCATCTGGATTCTTAAATCTGAAAAATAGTGCACTACACTATAGAAGGCAAACAGACAATAAGGAAGGACCTATATAGGAGGTATAGAGTTATACTAACTTGAGAGACCACTTCAAATGATGTATTTCATCCTCAATGCGATCACGCTCACTCCTCAAGAATTGAAGTTCCTGCACAAAACAGTTCGTGTAAAAATCTTCCCAAATGCAAATTATCATGTCATAAATACACCAACAGCAAATGCCAGAAGTCCCCAAAAAAATCTTTTATACAAGACTTGAACCAGTAATTTTCTCTATCTTTTTTTATGAATGAATTAAAGCCTTAGCATAAAAAATAAAACTAATCATAGACAAAAAAATAAATAAATAAATAAATAAGCACCTTGCGGGTAATCCTAGATTCCCAGAGGAGTTTTACCTCCTTCTCAAGCTCTGGGATTACAAGCATTGTTCTCCATCCTGCTCATAGAGCACATAGCATAAAAATCAAATTTAAATCCACAAATGCAAGTAATTTTGACTGGAGGAGTTAACATAGGTTTTCTACACATAAACAAGCATCCTACTGAATCATTAATAATGACATCAATGTCTATTTTCTCAATTACATTTCCAGTTATTACTTCCTATACTACAAGTGTACAATCATAACCTCATACATCACCAAAACTTAGTGGTAAATCAAATAAATACGCACAAATCCATTAAACAGAATGGTAAAAGGATTAATGATATACCAAGAACCTTTTTGCTGCGTAGTATATCTCCATAAATGTGATCCCCAACATAGAGAACCTGCATATAAAGCACTCAAATTTTTACAAGAAACTTCAATGTAGTGACAACCCTCAAGTACTGGAATCCTAAATCAACAACTATATTAAAATAATCAGATCTTTAAACCAGAAACACAATGACGCAGCTAACCACCATTTGTGTATGCTACAAATATCTTAAGTCATAAAATATTACCTGCGAACTTGATTCAATGGAAAGAAGTTTATGCAGATGAGCAACATTGCCTCCCTACAACAGATATTTATAATCACTACTTAATACTGAAATACTCGTTGTCAAAAAACATTCATTAGTAGATATAGACCAAATATTAAAATAACATTAACTTAAAAATCGTTTTGCATGAACCCAACTAAAAAGATTTTTATTTGATGTTTGATAATGATTATACCTGAAAAACTGGACAAGCATGATTCTTTGCCTCTATGAATAACCTTGCTGAGGTATTACCCACCTTTGAATAAATAAAAAAAAGAGTTGTTTATACATTACCTAAGCGAATGATAATATGTTGTGCGATTGTGCTTACCTGAGGCATAGGAGAGCCATTATCTGTATTAAGTAGCATTCCAGTCTCAGGCACAACCTCAAATAAGTTGGCACGATTTTCCTCGTGAAAAAATCCTGGCTTTGCACTGTAGGGTAGTGGATTTGAACAAGTTAGCATTGAAATCTATAATCTATAAATCAAATCCTTATATGTTAAATACAGACTTCTATCTTGCACGAGCATTTTTATGAAATTTTCTTCGATGAAAGGTTTTTAGAAATTTTTTTAACTTTTTATCTAATTCGGTTTTTATTTATCATGATAATTTATGAATTAAATTTTAACATTTTTAAAATAAATTATCAATAAATAAAAATAATATTATTCTACAATATAAATTATTTATCATAATTCTAAAATATAATTTATAGCTTTAAAAATATCTATTTGTACAAAATTTTAAACATGATTTATATATTCAAACATATTATTTATTTGTACATATAATTTATTATAAATTTTAATAATATATAATAAATATTTAACTTGTACATTACATAGAGTAAAATACTAGTTTTAATAAAATTACATGCCGCAAAAAACCTAAATTTAACTTTTCCTACTGAAAAATCCTAGATTTGGGCTTAGGGCTAAACACAACCCCACAACATTGGTACGTAAGGTAAGGAGTGTCCAAACCTTATAAGTTCTACTTAAGTCAAATTTATGTTGATGAGGGACCAAGCAATCACCCTTGAGGCCACAACTAAGGCAGGCTTGGATGTTTCTTATAAATTAGCAATTTCATAAAATGTGTGATACATGTTGTGTCAACTTAATAGAGAAAGACATGTATTGTACCCTAGGAAAAACAAATTGCAAATGCTACTCAATGAACAGCACAAGGACCAATGCAAAATCAACATGGCCCCTAACTCCTTGTAACATTATTTATGTAGTATGCAAATCAAAGGATTATAATAGAGGAACACTCACATCAAAGCAGATTAATAAAGCCAAACAAATATAACAAGGTACTGAGGTAATAGGTACACATGCTAAGAGAAGAACATGACCTGCCAGTGATAACAACATCAAAGTACTGAAGCCAGCTAAAATTGTTACTGTCATCTGCCATACTGGATCCGCAGAGGAAATTCATGACAATGTTTGTATAGTCCCATAAACTGCAAATCACACGTCAAAGTATGAAAAATCTTATCTAAAATGTCCATAGACAAGGAAACAAACTTGTGTTTTCCAAGAAAACCTTTTGCAATATTTTCTTTCAAATCAATTTACTATAAGATTTAAAATACTTTTCAATCCTAATATTATCTTGCAACGCATGGCAAGTCACTGTGCTCAAACATTTTAACACATTAAGGCCATATCCATCCCAAAACTCTTCTTTTTCTTTTTGTTTAGGCCATATTTTTCTACAAGTGACCCCACATTCTAATATTTTATCAATATTAATTGCTGCCAAATATTTTATTATTATTATTATTATTATTGTTATTATTATTATTATTATTATTATTATTATTATATAAGTAAAATGTTAAGCCCGCAACAAAAATTAGCGTAGGTGCTTATACAAGCAAGCCCCTAGTGCCATACAAGAGTTTATTAAGCAACTCCTCCAATAGGCAATTCTAGTTTAGCATTGGTGCTTATTAGGAACTATCCCCACAAGTAACTCTGATGGAGATGCTCAAAGTATCATAAAGCATAACTTTACCGCTTGGCACTATGTGTTAGTTTAAAAAAAATGCCAAAATGACTTTAAAACATAAATTCATTGTTCCATCAATCATTAATGAACACTTGAAAGTTTGATTATTTACTGATAACTGTTTACCCTTGGTTTATGTAAAATCATAACTACCTATTTGTCACTAAAAATGTTGCACGTCCAGAGTCTCTGATCATTCGAAGCATGGGCACTATCGAGGAGTCTTCATTAATATATCTGATAGATAAAATTCAACAGAAAAATGACAATGTCGGAAGACAATATATGAATTTAGGAACACGACTTCAAAAAGAAACAGTACATCAAAAGTCTGATATCTTGTTGAAAGGAAAACAATTGTTTGCCCATTTCTCACTGATAGTGATTTAATATCCATACCTTTTTGGTTCTTTAGCAACCATTTGCTTCAATGTTCCATCACGGTGGCACAAATCAACAGCAGCCCGAACATCTTTGTACATGCGAGCATAACTGGAAGGACAATATATAAAGGATATATGTATCACGGTGTGCTCAAATGTAGTATTTACTGGCTGTTTGATGGCTTCTAAACAAATAGATGGATCACTACTCTTTCAAACCCAATTATGTTTTTTACAATATTTGAAAAAATGGCCTCATATAAATTATAGCATTATTCATTTGTATCACCTGCTACGATTCATATACAAGGTAATAGTGGGAAAATATTGTTCCATTAGCAACAAATTACTTTAAACTTCTAAGCCTTAGTAAAATGTAGCTGAATTCAACTTTATTTACAGTGTTCTAATTAATATGTTCGAACACAAAGAATCCAAATCTGTCTGGGAGGTAGTGTATAAATAGTAAATTGATAGTAACGTACTAAATTCCTTTCAAAAAACTATCAAAGATTGCCTAGTGTTAGCATGAACAAATTTTCCGTATGTCCTAGTATTTAGTTGATGTATAAATAATAAGTATTTAAAATTCTCAAATATAAAAATTATGCAAGCTAGAATATGACTCACTCAACACCCTCCTGAATCTTGCCAGGATTACAATCCTTATAATCAACCAGTTGAGCAAACAAGTATGCCTCCGCGAGGGAAAATAGTGTATCGATTAGAGCATAGTCTGGTTCATCAAAAGAATCACGTACTAAAGTATTTCCATAGGTCCCAACTTTTTCTTCTTTTGATAACTCTCTGAATCCATGATAGGCAACTTTCACATACTTGTGGCGATCCATCTAAATACATTCAAGGGAACAATCAAACAGACAAAACGAAAAAAAAATAATCCATACAATCTGCTAATATATTGTTTAAATGGTGAAAACTGTGATGAAAAAACATCTATGCAGTCTACACCTTCAGTATGTTGCCTCTTTTTTTGTCAAGAACCAAACCCCTAACCATGTACTTCCAGTTAAAACACCAATTTAGTAACTGCAGAATAGAAAAACATTTTTAGCCAAATACAAAGGAATGTAAGAGTCATTATAAATAAATAAATAAATAAATAAAGTGTGAATGAATAAAATCCTTTAACTAAGTGAACGTACAGGAACTTGGTAAATCAACAGAGGAAAAAAACTATTACACGTGACACTTAAATCATGACTAATGCATGAAAAAGAAGACAAATTGTGATAAAAAGATCCTATAAGACTGATTGGACAAACCTCACGAGGATATCCCAAATCATAAACCAGCTTTTTAATTGTGCCACGATAAGCGAGAGATTCAAAAGTTTCAGGCTTGTACTGTGCCAGAGTATAGTCCATGTCAAATCCCACAGCAACAATGTTCTTCATATTCAGTGACCGATTACAAAATATATGCTTGCCTATTTCAGTTTTAAATCCATGTTCAGGAGATGACCATACACATGGCTGTTTGCTGTCATCACCGCCAGGCAAACCCACCAATCCTGAATCATGTACACCACTTTCATGGTTCCCCTCCATTGAATATTGAGAATGCAACGGATTAGCTCCTGATAGATTTAATCCAAGACACAATAATAGAATGGAAATGGTTAGTAATCACTTTGGTACACGTAAATACCATGCAATATAATAACAAAATTAGTGTGTTGCCCATTTTCAGTAAAAATTAGATTGACTGACCGACTTCCATAACTTTCTAAATATTCCCCAGAAAGCAGGAAAAAACAAGACACGTGTCCAAAATCTAGACAAAGGAATGTATTTACTTCCTGGTTTTCTCAACACTGAACATGCTTAACCAAGAATAACTCATTCAAAAATGAGCATTCAGACGAAAAAGGAAACAATCAGGTTTAGGATTGCAATAAAATTGCTACATGTGAATTGCGCAAACAAACAAATTCATGCAGATAATTTAGGGTTCAACCTTTCTGACAAATGAAGTGCAGAGACATTTGATGCAGTAACCAATCATAAAACCTTACATACTCTCACCATTCAACACATATCAAATAAAACTTAGGAGAAAATAATTTGATAGAAAAGTAAAAGACAGACATAGAGAGTATCTATAAGCCCTTCCCTGAAAAATAATTCTGACATCTTACCTTGGTTGTGATTTGTGAAAGAATTATAGCGTACAATGCACAGTGCTATGTTCCAACTCTAGGAATTCCCCAAGCTAGGCTCCAAGAAACACCTATAAATTTAACTTCTGAATTCAGAAGAGTAATCCTCTAAGTTCCTAGTATCTAATAGGATTAAACTTTAATACAGTTTCATACGTGTTGTCCTCCGATCAGAATCAATAAAAATATTCATTCAATGTCAAGTCAAACAAGAAAGGTTTTGTTGAATTCTGATAGAAGACATGAAAATGACACACGAAAGTGTAGCTAATTTTTGTCCTACCTATTATTTCCCTGGAATCCATAATTAGTATCTGATGGTAGCTCTATCTATATATAAGAAACGAGAGAAGTCGAGAAAAGGAATGGCTTAACGAGGCAATAAGACGAGAAATAAAATTGAAAAAGCTTAGAGCACAAGAAATCCGTTTGAGGAGAGAGGATGAAAAAGAAAAGAAAAAAAGGAACGAACCTGGTGACGTGGCGTTGGCGAGTGAGCGAGGACGTTTGGCGCAGATTCCAGAAGCGAAGCGAAGGCGAGGAGAGAAAAGAGGTGCGAGCTGAGGAGAGAAGTTGGAGAGAGAAAAGGATAGGTGCCTCTTGGGAATTCGCATCGTGCAGCGATTAAATAGGCGTGGTGGACATGGTGAATGGGATGGAAATGGAATCAGATGCCAGTGCGGGAATGCAATCAGGACTTGGAAATGCAGCTTCACCGGCATTTACCGCTTTTGCCAAATTATCATCTCTCGGTAACGGATTATTCCTACCCTGGAATTTGGATTAGATAACGGTAACAATCAATTCGCGTTGAGGGAGGAATTAATTCCCGTTTCCTCAGCATACTGCCACTGCCACTGCCACTGCCACTGCCACCTCCACCTATTGGCTATTCTATTCTATCTATCGTTCCTTTTTCCTTTTCCTTTCACGAGGCTCAGGCTGGCTGGCCAAAAAGAAACGCAAGGGTTCGGATTGGAACTTGGGAAAGAGCGGTTCA